ATTCATCATCATGCTTCGGTGCCACATAGTCATACTTTGTTTGTAAGTGCTTTTGTGAAGAAACAACAAGAGTAAAGGGGGGAGTGGACTTGATGCCAGCGTATCGCAATCGTTTTAAGGTGCCTACGACTCCAGTCACTCATTCAGGGAATCTGGATTGAAAGTGACGGCAAAAAGTCATTGGAATCGACTGTCTACAACTAGGCACAGCTAACATAACGCGGTTTCCATCCTGGAAAAGGAATCACAGTGACAGTACCCAGACTTTTCGTACTCTCTCTTATACTTCTCTGCCAGTTCAAAGGTTGTCTGCCCAACTGTTTCTGGCACTCTGAATTGGACACGGAGAACAATTCTTCGGCAAACGATAGTTTGAAGCCTTAGGTACTCGTGCATTAACCTTATCTGTTACCCTACAATCGAAACTAATACAACTTCCAAGGTACATAAAATTCACCACGACTTCGAGTATATCTCCTTGGAGAGCAGGTGGCCTGTCCAGCTGCTGCATGCCCGAAGCATGACTTTACACTTTGTGGATTTAAAGTGCATTCCAAAGGACTTTGGTCACTTCATTCAAAACACCTACACGTTTTTCCCCGCACACCAGAAAGATTTCATCAGTGTATTCCAGGTCGACGGTGTTTTCATCGGATTATGAAGACGCTGCAGCGTTCGTATTATTGCTGTGTTCATCATGAAATTAAGTAGGAATGACGGGAGTGAGTACTTCTAATTGAAAGTGCTTTGTGTACGAAGACTCTGAGAGCTTTCTGTACACTCACACACTCGGAATTTTGAGAATACAAATATCTGGGACATTCGCTGCTGCTCTAGAATCAGTGTTTCACGAGTCACCACAAAGCGACGATGAACAAGTGATGCCAACAGTCTCGTAACAAGTGGGATTCCTTTGACTCCCTGTGATTTTCGCACTCACTACGGGGCCCGTTTTCAAACATAGACACTACCACTGATTCAGGGCCGATTTTCTGGTAATGTTTTCTTCCCACAAATGGAGTAATAAAGGTCAGTCAGACGCTGACTGAGGACTTAAATCCCATCTTTGAGCAATACAGGTTGGATCTCATCCTAACTAGGTGCTTGGTGGTGCTTGGTAGAACATATGCAATCTTCGAGATTCAAACAGTACTACTGTTCTATCTGATATCCTGTACTTGAGCTGACCTGGTGGTACCTTGCCACAGGCAGAACCCCCCCCCCCCCCCCCCCTGTGGAACGACGTGGCGATCGCGTTCCAGCACAAATTCAAAGCCGATCCCGGAGCAAATGGAAAATATTCCAGAAGATGTTTATGATAGATGTCTAAATACCGGATCTACCAGCCTTTCAGTTGCCAAGCAATCTATCCGGACCTTACGTGGCCATAGGAAACCGAAGAAGAACTGACTGTGGAGATAGATGAAAGGACAATTTTGGTCCTTCAGCGAAGCCTTTGGCTCAAAAGCCTGACCGTAAAGTAGCGGTGTTTGTCAGTTTTAAAACACAAGTCGCCACGCATGTTCCAACCTCAAACCAGAGACCTCTATTGGTCAGGTTTCTAACCACTGACCAACCTGGTTTGAAAGACTGCGATTGTCACAAAAACACTCTCACCATAGATCAATGAATCGTGGAGGCACACAAGCTGTCATGGTAATTTCCAGTCGCTTCGTGTTTCAATTGAACGGAAAACAAAAAAGTCAAAACCACAATGTGTTATACGCATAATAAAATGACGAATAAGATTATTTGGAAACTAATCAGGGAGAACTACCACAGCAGGTGAAACTTGGGTCAGATCAGTCGCCCTACCAACTAGGAGTTCACCACAACCATCGATAAGGCTTCTCGTATATATCGCAACCACTGAGGCTATGAAACATATGAACAGTGTCTGTGAACTCCGAAGGTTGTAGTGCAGTAGTTCCAACTGTATTTTCCACTTGTAATTGACAGAGATAAGAAAATCGATTAGTTGGTCTTTGTACGTATGTATGTTTCTCACCGTGCAAGATCTGATTTTAGTAATTGTCATGGACACCTTAAATCGGGCAATATATTCGTCAGTGGCCCCGTTTACCGAGAGAGACCCTAATCAGCGACAACTAGCCCGTAAACAACATGGAGAATTCGGTATACCAAGCCCGCGTTCAATCATCTCGATACGGCTGAAAGCTTTTGTAGAAGAGTTGCTACTGGACAATGTGATTGATGATCTGCAGTTGGCAGGTTTTCCGGGATCTCAGCCTTCCAATTTGGGTCCAGTCAATCGTTCAGCTGTAAACCGTTTGGGGTGCACAGCGTCCGAAGTAAGCACAAGCCTTCAGATACTACAGGGTTGCGCAAGCGAAGACAGGAACACTCGAGGCCCGGGTCGAACCACGTACCATCCGGTTAGCAAGTTAGCGTTTTAACCACTGAGCTATTCGGATACAGGGTACACCAGGAAAGAAACGGTGACTGCTTGGGAGCGATAGGCTGCACAACGGCGTTGATGGTCACGGTTTACGAGAGTTGCTCACTTTGCTTTGTTCAAATCAATGATATGTTTCCAGAACACATGCTTGCTCGGATGCTTTCCATGTCCGGTGCAACCTGCTTTGGACATGGCCATCGTGACCAGACGATCTTATGTCAACCGTAATGTTCGATGTGCTTGCTATCCATAAGTGAACTGCAAGAGACCTCGGAAAATATCACCGTCGTTTGTGGCTCACTGTCTCCGAGGGATGGAGAGCACATACGTCGACTTCTTTCGTCAAGCCTGACCTAACCGCTATTCAAAAGTGTCAGCCAAATGTGACAGCTATGAGCATAGTCTTGGATTGTGACGAATGAGAGGAAGCACAAGTACAATGTCCACAAATATGCTGAAATAATGCTAGCTCAGCCGTAATTGCCATCGACTGTGACGTTGATTGTTTGGTTCACCAACTGATGGGTTCAGCTTTCCACAGTCGGCAAGCTCCGCTTTTGGACTGGGGCTTTCTAAGGTTGTTCACTCACCGTTTTGGAATTTGCACTTATGTATGACACTTTCACACATTGTTAATTGAGCCGACTCTTCATTTTTTCGCACCTGACCCTGTGTGATGAATACTTCGTGCTTGACGTTCGAGTCTTCAGTGTGCTAGCGCTTACTCAGCCTTGAAGAGAGTTGAGTGCTTTTAGCCATTTTCAATTATTGTTCATTACAACTGTCATCCGATGCCAATTGATCCTGCAAAAATCGGAGTTATTTCGCCTGACTGAAAACTATCGACTATTGGGAAGTTTCCCTTCTAAATTCCAATGCTCTAATTTCCATCTCTTTACATCTATCGCTTGCATTTTTATGTTTCAGGTCGTACTGTCCTGAAATGAACGGTAAGATAGTGTAACAGTGATAGGGACGGTGATGGGGAGGCACGCAAGTAGTATGTTATTCGTGGAATTTCGTTTCGCGTCTCTTAAAAAGGGGAGATCTGTTGCGGAATTTGTGGAGCGGTTTGAAACATTTGCTTGGATTTGAGCGATGAATGATTGGAGTCTACGAATATCCAGGAAAGTTCAAGAAGACGCGTTCAGGAGAAGATGGATGTCCAGTTTTCTTAAATAAGATGCAAATGAGAGTTTTGCTTCCCTGTTTAATGGTCTGTGACCAGTCAGTTGGCATTTTCTAATAAATAACTACTCAGCGAAGGCCTTCTTCCTTTCACTAGTGCAGCGGTGGATACTACTGATGAGGCATGCGTCCAATAGTTTGTAACTGCCAATAGGCAACTTCGCCGCCAACGGCTTTCCTCCCTACACAAGTTGGGTCCACATGCTCTCAATTCAAGAACATTAGTAATAAATAATACTCAGCGAAAGCCTTCTTCCTTTCACTAGTGCAGCGGTGGATACTACTGATGAGGCATGCGTCCAATAGTTTGTAACTGCCAATAGGCAACTTCGCCGCCAACGGCTTTCCTCCCTACACAAGTTGGGTCCACATGCTCTCAATTCAAGAACATTAGTGAATTGCAGTATAGATATTCCAGACTCAATAAACCGTTCGATTCTTGGAGCGTCTCCACAGGTAGGCATTTATCATAAAGAGGCCTTGTTGGTGATCCTCACGAAAGTGGAGTTACCGCTTCAGTCAGAAGCACGAACAGGCACGGGTTGGAAACTTCTGTGATACAGATTACACTTTCGTGGTAGAAAGGGTCTAGCGCTGGAAGTTTGGCATCAAGTAGGGTGTGTACCGGGATTCGTTGCTGTGAAACCTAAACGAGAAACTTTTCCTTTGTACTGAAAGTGTGCCCGCTGGTCTCATTACTTAGTATCAAGGATGTTCACTGGTAGAGATCGATCATCTCGGTTCAGCCTAGCTAAGCGAAAATCAAGTGACACATTTTTCTGATTTTGTAAAAGCGTTGTGGATTAGAGGAACCATAACTGCCCGATACCTTTTTTAAGGACGTTGATATTTTTGTCAAACGACGAGGCTGACCGGATCGAAACAAAATGGTCCCTTTAGGGTGGAGGGTCCTGTTGGAAAGGACTAAACATGGAAGCACCACTATATACTGAGCTCGATGCAAGCAAAATCATTTCAGTTTGTCAGTTTACTTTCAAGCATGCAGCTGCAAATTCAGGAGGTAGGATTCACACTCGATGAGTTCCAAAAAATGGTTTCTCTACTCTGCATCTTGAATCAAGGTGCATAATACGCACGAAAAGGAAGAAGTGTGGATAAAGATACCCGAAATGAAAGCTACCTGGAAGAAATAAACCTCCAACTCATCACATATTTTCATAAAAGCCCGTACTTTGTGAGTGATGGTCACTAAATGGTCCTGAACTTTGTAGGAATAAACAGGGACGCTGCTGACTTTGGGCTAAATGTTGTTCTGCCGCATGCTCTAATTAGCATACGAATTCGGCTCTGACCGGAGATTCAAGTGAATCCAGCTAAATCTCCCGTTTATGATGGTCCGCTTCAACTGAATGTGCTGCACCCGGCCACCTTAACCGGTACGATTTTCGAGATATCGCATTATGTTATTCTTTAAACCTAACATACTACTCATAAGTTTGCTTAAAACCCTTCGGGAGCACACAACCAGTTTCTTCCTGCTTGGGACTCATCAGGTAGGCGTGGTCCCCGAGTTTCCACCAACCTTTTGAGTGTTATAAATACTCGTCCCCTATGTCATAGCTTGTCTGTCACTGAATTCCAGAACATGTTCGGTAGTGTCCACGAAGCTCGTGCGAATGCCTAGTTACTTTGAACTGGACATATTTATTGGTGTTCTCGTTGACTGTAGCCTGATCTGTTACATTAAAACAAGCATATACACTTCCAGATCGACACAGATTACACACACGGTTTCTGTTACCATGCGAGAATGCTGAAAGAATGACTAACGTTGAAAGCTTCCACCGAGGGAATTGTTTGCGTCGAATGAAGCACCCGTTCTCTTAACAGCTGCCCAAACAATTCACGCCAAAATTGCAGATCTGAGAGACTTTGTTCAAAAAACAAAGAACACTAGGCATGCCAGGTTTCGACTTCCCAATCACGATGGGAAAACACTTCATGTAAGGAGTTCGTCGACTGTCTTCTAGTTATAACATCGTCGCTTTAGACACGTGTTTGGGACAGGGAATGAGGAGTGTACTTTTCATAAACTGCATTAATGCGAAACTAGGCTCACATAACCGGTCAGGTGGTGTCCCAACAGCTTATCATGTCACTGAATCTATACGTTACACGAGCAAAGCTAAGAAATCGTTCTCCGCTTGCTTAGAATAACCTCAAACTCGGCCTCATCACGATGACCGCTATATTAAAAATTAGACGAACCTTTCTGTGAGTTTCACCTGTCAGACAAGAAGTCAATCTGCTTGGACTTTTGTTGCCCATGAAAAATTTACTCAACTTAGAGACGCGTGGGAAGCATCTTTGACTGACTAGCTTTTTACAACATGAATTCCTCATAACATTCTGGAAGTTAAGCCCCCAAAGTTGGCATTTTCCCACCTGAAAGATCGTAACTGGGACATAGTGTCATAGGACATAGTATTAAAAACGACCTTTGGTATCGAGGGTAAACATCCCATATAGAACGTGTCTCTCTATGTTCTGTGTCAGATTCAGCTTACTGAATAAATAAATACGTAAAATAAATCTTTCAGCTGTAATGCCCAACTGCCGCGCCACCAGAAGGAAGCATGAGGGCTGGGCTACTGTTAGATTGCCCACCTCGCGAAGGCCCAAGTACCATAAGATGTGGAAAACATCAGTTTTGTTAGATTTCGCTTCTGACTGTTGAAAATACTGACTTTACTGCTTCATTTTGCATCCAATAACCTCTTTCGGTGTTCAGCTTTGTTCCCCAGATTCGCTGTAACTGTTTGTGAATTGAATTGACCCTATCGAGCAAATTGTCCACCATAATAAAACTGAATTTCCCTACTTATATTTCATCCCGATAGAGTTGGAAGCTATTTTTGGTTTCATCATCAGGATGAATCGCTCAAACGCTCCAACAAGCATTCAAAAGCGCCACTCATCCACTTATCCTGCTAGTTTGCATTTCAAATTCTTTGATCATAGCTATCCGCCTTTCTAATATTTTGCCAGGCCACATTTGCAACCGGAATTATTTGGTCATGTCCTGCCCCTAGTATGCACGAAATTCCACCTCGTTACTGCCTCAGTGATCCACGTGTTCAACGGAAATCACATCAGAAAGATTGCAATAAAACCTGACATGAACATGATGATCGTCATAAAACTGACACATTAATTCGGATGGCCAAATTCAACCTGTTACATATCAGTATCTGTGAGACAACAGTTTTGAGGAGAGGGGGGAAATTGCGTAAAATGTCTCAGTGCTGTTTCACCTGCGTAACACTCTTACTTACCATTAGTTGTTTATCGTCTGCCTGATCATCTTCCGAAAGGTTATCACATTCAGATAAGGATTCGTATTTGCTTATTCCACTCATACAGTGATTTCTTTGGATTGTGTTGAGCATAACTAGCAATACATAGGGAAGATCCGGTGATGTCTGATTGTGCACTCCTCATTGGACAACCGATCCAACCAATCAGGTTGAGCCACACCCGGAATCGGCCAATCCAGGGAATAACCATTATTCGGTTGTGTAGCGGGGACCACGCCCTTGCTCACATCGAATCCAATATTTTTTGAGTAAATTAAGCCATGAAAGACTTGACGTGAAAAGTTGACAAAGTGAACACTATACCTCATGTACGGTTGCACTGTGAAAAGGAAAGCTGTCAATTCGGATATCTAGCATCTTAGTAGAT